CCACTTTTCATGACCATCCTACTGCAGCTCATTTTGGTTTCCACAAAACTTTCCGTCGAATATCTGAACTTTATTACTGGCTGAAGATGCGTCAAACTGTACGTAGCTATATCGCTTAATGCAAATCTGTGCTACATGCAAACCGACAAATCTTCCCCAACCAGGTTTAATGGGTAGTTATCGACGGATTGATTTTCCGTTTCAACTTATATCTTTAGATCTCATTGGTCTCTTATCACTTCTGTACCAGTTTGGTTGTTTAAGATCTGATTGTCTATTTTGTTTACCTGGCAAAAACCCATAAGATGTTGTGCTATTTTGCCTTCTATTTTTTTTTTATCTTATCTTAATGTTGGTTATTATCTTGTTTTATGGACTTGTTAATTTTGTTGTTTGTTTTCTCTTAAAAGTCCAACTGCATATCATAGGAGTACAGGATGGATATATGGGAATTTCCCCATCTTGAGTTCTGAGTTGAATAGATATTTACAGGGATAATTCGGAAAACATTACAAATATTTTCTTAAATAGTATTGTATGGTTTTGTGGACCATGGCCATAAAGCTTATGCATTCATATTTACTTACTGGGTCGGTGTTTTAGCGTGGGTTCAGGATTGATCACCCTGGATGTGTGCCCTCACTTGACTCAGAAATAATATCAATACATATTAGTTGTTCCTTGAGTGTCTCTTAGGTTGAAATTAGAATGTGTCATTTAGAATTGGATCGTTCTGATATTCAGCAGTAAGTAAGTCTGTTTAACTTGGAGGTAATCTCCTATGCTATTATCTTTGAAAGTATTTGAGTTTTAACATATCTTATTGTATACTGTTTGTTTACCTGTCTCTCTACTAGTGATATGGATTGGTAGATGTGAGTTATCTTTATCTGTATCTTAATTGAGTTTATCTTTACCTTTATGGAGTTTATCTCATACCTGTAATGGAGTTTATTTCGTATCTTTACCTTCAGTTTGTCTCGTACCTTGACTGAGTTTATCTCGTACCTTTACCTTAATTGGTTTATCTCATACCTTTACCTTAAGTTAGTTATCTTTACCTTTACCTGGATAAGTTTATTTCTTATCTATATCTTATGAATATATATCTTATCTTTATCTTGATTATAGAGTCCTAAAAATCTGTCCTTTACTGTTCTTGTCGTGAGTAAAGAATTGGAACACGTCAATAGTACAGTTTAGGTATTACAGTTAGGATCTCTTTTATCTTTCCTTCTACCAAGTGTATAGCTGCTAGAAGTGAGTTTTGTGCATATCCTCTACCATGAGTAGATCTGGACGTGAAATTATCTTTTACCTTTTTGTGCATATCCTTTACTATGAGTTGGGATTGCAGTTATCTTACTTACCTTTTTTTAGCATACCCTATACCATGAGTATAGTGGGCTTGCTAGTATCTAGGCTTACTTGTGCCTTTACCGATTGTGTGTTTCCCTACCGCTGCAAAAGCAAGTAGGTGTAATGTATTATTTTTTACTTGGAATTTTCAATATGTTGTTGATATCCCGAACCATATATATGTTTAGGTTTGTAGTTTCAACTAGTCCTGAGTAATTAGGCCCTCATTGAACTCTATGGTGACGAATAGAATCGGGTCGCTCTAGTGTCAACGTTGGGTAAAGTTCATAGGACTTTGTTTGAATTTCGTTGTCATGAATGGTTCTTGGGAATGTTGTGTTAGGGGTTGTTAATACACACCTATAATGTAGTTTTAACGAATGGTTGTTTTTACAAATACTTGAGAATGTAGATAAGTAGTGTTAAAAGTTAACTTGATCTGTAAGGTTATATAATTAAACTCAAAATGTATACTTTTTTTATCTTTGGTTTATACTAAATTAACATACATTATCTCATTAACAGGAAAAAAAATGTATGACTTTGTCTCATATTCTTCGTTCCATATTTTTATTTCGTCCTTGATTTTGTTCCAATTCCTGAGCAAATGGTTGACTGGTGAGGAAAATGTTCAATTTGAACGTATCAACGTTCCTTACTGACCCAGCGTTAGATCGTTCTGTCACAAAAGAGAAAAAAAAAAAAAAAAGTTCCTTTTTTTTTTTTTTTTTTTGCTGGAGATGAGGGAGAATGTAGCGTTTACGCTACTAATTACCAATAATACAATTTAAAATTGTATTAATAGAAACCCCTCACGAAATTTCTTATGACCCGCCAGCGGTCGATTCAAACCACCTATACGCGCAGGTTTCGCTTTTTGGAAGGCTGGAAGGAGTTTGTGCCGAAGCCAACCGGCAGTTTGGTCAAGAAACTCACGCAACACGTCAGCTAATTTAAAGTGACGGAATTGGAACAGAAAAATAATCTGGGACGAATAAAATAATATCTAATTCGTTAATAATATCTCAGTAATACTAATAATAAGAAGTAAATTTTAAAAATCAAGATTTTCTAATGTAAGAGTTCCACATAATAAGGATATTTTTTTTTTGGCGTGTTGCAAGTTCCAGTAAGTACATTATTTTATACGTATTATCTCTTTATCATATAATCAAATTTATCATTGTATTTAGTATTTCTTTAGAGACTTATTTTTGAGTTCCGAAATAATTTAACTATAAAATTTCCTTGATTTACTTGCAAAGAACAGAAGGTCATTTTTTATATAGTCAAACTTAAATTCCACGTCGTTATCATTAAGTTTTTTGGTTCAATTTTTATCTAACTTTTTTTGGTGGAATATAATAGGTCCTACAATTATTGGACAGCTATTATATTCTGCGCATGTTCATTTCCTATCATGCTGGGAAATAACTTCGGGAATTTTGACATGACAAATATATCTAACCTGATGTTTGATGTTTTGTTTTGGTAAAGTGAATCCATGCTGCTACAGCTATTGAATTACATTTATTAAATTAATTAATCCTTTTAGATTCCGTCACTGAAAATATTTATCACTTAAAAATATTCATCTAAGAATATTAACTTGAAAATATTCCCTCAAGGATGTTAGTTATTCACTTCTTTAAATAGTTGCCGTGGATTGTGGATGTTGCTGTCACCCAGAGACCAGTGACTGGTTTTGTGCCTAGGACTTATCTTACAACCATGAATTAGTTTTGTTTTGCCCAGAGGAGTTTTCCTAGGGACTTATTGTTGCCAAGATAAGTTGTTTTAACTATTTGGTTTTTGTGTTACTTTCTATTTAAATCGTGTACACTTTTTAAATATGACTAGGAGATTACAATTTTGATAAAATACATATTTTTTTGACATAATCTAATTCTAAAATATTGGGGATGAGGGAAAATACCTTTCATGTGTTATTAGGTTTTTTTTTGTTTAACTGGGATTTCAAGAGTAATTGACCAAACTCACTTTTTTTGATATATTTTTGTAATACAATGCTTTTAATAATAATAATAATAATAAATTTTGATGTCATAATATTAAATTTTGGGAAAGGGATATAAATTTCATGTGTTTTTAAAATAAATTATAAGGAGTATTGAAAACTAAATTTTTGTATGTAATATCTTTAATATATCTGTAATAGATTGATCACTTTTTGATACCTTTATAATAATGTAATTTGGATCTCATTGTAGTAGAATGAGTTAAATTTAAATGATTACCTTTTGTATTAAGACTTTGGCTATGATACGGACTACTCTTGGATTTTTACTAATATATCATATTTTATTTGACCAGTGGTAGTGACTATTCGTTTGTTGAGGGGCTATTAGGTCCCATTGTTTCTTTATATCATACTACTACTGTATATTTAGCTTTGCATTCTATGTAAATTGTTTATACACATATTTCTATATACATTTTTTTATAAATATATTTATTGTTGCTATTTTGAGTTTTATTTCAGTTCTACTAACCAGTATATAACATAGCAAAACAAGATTAGTATTTAGTTTTTTTATTTCAGGTTACTATCTCCAGATTCATTTGTTACTTCAAAATCTCAACTATCGTTGAGTTGGCGCCCTTCTTTTTCTCTTCTTAGTGTTCTCTTCCTATAAATTTATTCCCAGTGACCTTCTTTAGTTATATCACGTTTGACATTGTCAGGTCTCATTTCGTTTCTTGTCTCATTAGCTCATTATCTCTTGTTATCTGTTGTATCTTTAAAGCCGCAATCCAGTGCATTGAAGCTAGCCCGAACACTCTCTTGAGATTTAGTGTCTCTTTGGCCATTTAACTTTGTTCCTCTGAGCTTAGCCCTATTTTTAGTATTTTTTTTTTCCATCACTTCTCTTTCAGTTCTTCTGAACTTTGTCAATTCACAAATTTTATTCGTTTCACAGTGCATAAAACTTTTATATGAGTCACCAGCAGCTAAATATGGTAGGGTTAATATTAACCTTTCTATTAACGATATAGCTTCTCTAAACTTTGTATCATCTTTCACGATATTTGGACCATTATTATTTCATTTAATAACCATTCAGTTTGCAATAAATATATCCTCATCCGATGTCATTTTTACAATTTACATAACAGCCGCGCCACGAATCCCCAAAAATACCCGCGAAAATTTGCCATCGAACGCCGAAAACATCGAATGAATTCGGTCAAAGATTCGGTTCCCAGATGTGTATGCGCCTTTATAAGATCGGCAAACGCAAACAATCCACTTTTCCCTTCCCCAGAGCACTAATGGCATCCTACAGACGTAGTTACGCTGAGTGCCGTTGGGTAACAGCACCTTACAGAGACATTAACGTCTACTGGTCACTTTGGCTTTATCACGAAGTATGAAAAAAGAAATGTACTTCAGACCTTCATAACTATTAATTGTAACAATATTTCATATAGTTTTCTTTATTCATTTTAATGTAACTGTGCATTCTGTTCTTAAGACCTGCGGTGTCGAGACACGTAAATTTCAATAGGAGTTTTAGGCTCATGGGCAAAGCTATCCATTGTTTAGAGCTTCTAAATTAGCAATGACATATTTAGATATATTTGGCATATTTACTATTATAATAAGTTTTTATTTTTAGTTTTGGGACTGGTTCGTCCACGTATCAGATGTACAAACCCTCTGGAAGCTCCAACCAACATATTTGATCGTTCAAGCTGTTTATTTTTTAGGAGCTCTTTTAACACTTAGCCATGGTAAGGACATGTTATAATCAATGTTTGAGATTCAAAATGTTGTAAGATTTATTTAATTGGAAAAATGAATCTGTTGTCCTATTGCACTAATTTGAATAAATCTGATTTATACTCGATTTCAAGTTCAGTATCCCCATCTCCCCCGATCGTCTTCAAGTGCCACGTCCGCGAGATAAGTCAGTAATTATTGCAGCTATTCGGACTTAATCACTCTCTCACATTGCGCAGCCATGGTATTCCACGCCTCTCTTTCCTTGGATCTTTCTCCTGCAATGTGAGTGATAATAACACGACAAGCTTTACCAGTTGGGAGTGAATCCCGCCTCTCGACGCGTTAGTGTTCTGAGCTGTTGGACGTGAATCCCTGTCCTGGCATTTGGTTTTCACCTCTGGCTGCGTTGAGTAGTTCAGTTACTGTGACCAAATGCCCATCTTGGTAGTTAGTATTCGCCTCTGGTTGCATTGAGTAACTGAGTTACCGTTGCTAACTACCCATCTTCCTGTCTTCTTTTTCTTTTTCTTTTTCTTTGTTCTCCTGAAGAAGCTACATACAATTGTAGCGAAACGTCGAGATGAACCCACTTTTGGGTCACTCACAAATGACACGGTCCAAACCCGGAAGACGAATAAACTATAATTCTGACTCTGGCCGTGGAAGCCTACGATTTCAATAATCACATAAGTATATAGGGATAACACTATCTATCTATCTATCTATACAGCCCTAAACATCCATCCTTGGATGTAGGCCTCCTCCTCCTTCTTCCATGCCTCTCTATCTTGGGCAATTTGCATCCATTTTGACCCGGCGTTGTTTCTTCAGGTCATCTGACCATCGCATTTGTGGCCTTCCCCTTTTTCGTTTGTGATTCCATGGTCTCCGATGTATAATTGTCTTAGTCTATCTTTCATCTTTCTGCCTTAGGGCGTGTCCGGCGAACTTCCATTTAAGCTTTTCTACTTGGGTTGAGACATCTGTCATTTTTGTTTTATTACGGATCCATTCGTTTCTTTTTCTGTCTGATAGTTTAATGTTCAGCATTTGTCTTTCCATGGATCTTTCTATCTTTGCTATTTTTATATAGAGGATAGGGAGTATACATTGATTGAAGACTCTTGTTTTTAGGTATTGGGGGTATTTTCAATTTTTTAGAATATAAGACAGTTTTCCGAATGATGCCCAGGCCAATCTTATTCTTATCTTTATTTCTTCGGTCTGATTTTCTTTATTTAATTTAGTGATTTGGCCTAGATATATATACTCTTTTACTTGTTCTATTCTTGTTTGTGCCACTGTAATTATTAGTTCATTTGGTTGACTAGTCATGGTTTTTGTTTTACCCTTGGTGGATTGTATGTATCTGACGACTTTCTTGTTTATTATAAAACCAACTCCGTTGTTAGAGTTATCTTCATTGCCTTTGTAGTACTTTGTATAGTACAGGGATAACACTATTTGCTTAAAAATCGGAAATAGACTATCAGAGCCAATTAAAGTAACTAAAGGACTAAGATAAGAATGCAGAATGTCACCCTTACTCTTTAATTTATATGTTGAGGCAGCCCTCCAAAATTTGAAAAACCACTACCAAGGAATGGGAATCTCCATAGGAAATGACGTACTGTTTTCCCTGAACTTTGCGGATGACCAAGTCGTCCTAGATCAGTTGAAAACATTGTACGAAAATTTCTTAACAATTTATTTACCTAAAACTCTAATCTTTTATATTGTCCGCAAGTGCAAGGGATTTTTGCAGTCCTAAAAGGAAAGCTTATAAAATACTATTAACGCCATTTTTTTTTCAGCCCTGATTAATAAAGGTAGACTACCATATCTATGGATCGGAATAATACTCCATGGAATTTACGTTGAAGTTATAACATATTTTCTTCCCGATATTGACAACTTTTGGCATTCACAAACCCCAATTATCTTCGTAGGGAGAAGATTGCCCTTACATATTATGCTTTTATGTAAGTATTGGATTATTTGTATAAGATAAAGACAGAGATATATTGTCTGTCAACTAAATGATTTTTAAATAAATAATTTTTCAAAAAAAATGTATAAAATAATGCGGTTGGATTAATACGCTTACGTAAATAATCATTGTTATTTTCTCATTTTATAAACCAACAAAGTAAAAATTAAAAAAGATAACAATTTTTTGAGCATATTTTTTAAGTGAAATATATTTTACTGTACTAATGTTTAGCTTTTTTACATCTTTAAAGAGAAGGAAAAGCTGCATGCAGACACCTGTGACTCACAAAGCTAGTGTTGGATTCCTAATATCCTAAAGAAATTGTGCCAGGCCGAGATGCCCGAGGGAGTTAGACCTTTGATACTTTGACACGTCCCGTCACCACTCCGAGACGGTTGGCGTTCAAATAAAAACCTTTCCTCTGTCACTCTAGATATCAGGATAAAAGGACTGGTTAAGGCAAAACATCTCAACTGATGCCCTGCTGTTACCCGATTCCCATTATTTCTCTTCTACTTCTACTTCCTGTCTTAGGGTATGGACACAGTATAAAGAGGTTCCACAGTAAAACTACTCGTCTGTCGGCACTTTGATCTCAGGAAGTAATACCGGCAAAGTACGAAATTGGTAATCCACCACCGTTAACCTTACAGAGCCGTATTAAAATTTTCTGAGCCTACTACTATTAATTTATTTAAATAAAAAATGCGGCTTCCCATATTTAACTGTCCAGATGTTCTCACAAATGTTAATATTACAAAAACAAAGGGTTTAATAAATTAAAAACAATATTATAATTCATTGTTTATATTTTTCAAAAATATCTTTTAAATGCTGCGGTAAATTATACCGGAGTAAGGTTAACACAATTGCCACCTTGCTGCCTGATTGAACCAAAAAAGGTTTCTAGCCAATCTTGATTAATCCGCCTTATTAAAAAGTAATCCATTCCATGTGACTGTAGTAGATTCCACAAATGAATCACTCCATTAATGGCTATTTTCCAACCATTAACATATTTTATTCTTGGTGTTACATTTTTAGCTTTAAAATTAATTACCTGTAAATTATTAAACAATCGGAAACACGCATTAAGAAATTCTTGCTAAGCATCGGTTCCTCTATACGGTCTTTGGTACTCAGTTGCTCCTCTTAATGAAGAAGAATTGAGCATATGAAATAAATTATTATTGTTCCTAATAAATCTTTCAGTTGTTGTTGCTTCCTCGACGAATACAATAAATCTAATATACAGATGCAGACCGGCAGCAACAGTGTTACTAAATATCTAAGAAGCATATTTCACTTTCATATTTTCAAAATTGTTAGGAGATATATGTAATTCGGTCAATTTTGGCGCTGTACGTATAGTATATTGTTTATCATGTTCATAAAATTTTTTAATATATTCCCAAGAAACGAGAATATCATCAATAACAAATTTGTTTCTTAGGAAGTTATTATGAAGCGCTCTTAATAAATATGGTGTATCAAAATAAAAGACAATTTTATTATTTTCATGATAAAAATATGGTCTATCGGCAGATATATTTAACAAATTTGGAAGTTTAAGATTATTAATACCACTTCGAATTTCACTCATGTTCAACTTCACAATACTAACAATTATTCACAAAACTAACTCAGTTTAAGCAAAATACGGCACTGTTAACCCGTACGTTTCTACGTGACTAGCAACGGAAGAACGGTTCTCGAGCGACTAAGAAATAAGCGCAGTCGCTCTGCGCGTTGACAGACTTTACTTCCAATTTTTCAGAGAGTGGTTCTACTGTGGAACCTCTTTATACTGTGTCTTGGTCCTCAATTCGCGCGTTTTTTTCAGGTATAAAGGTAAACCCTTACTTAAAATTTTATTTTGATCCTCAATTCGTGTCTGCACCCAAAAATTGTGTATTATACAAAAATATCGGACAAAGACTTTCTACTATCTACTAATGACACATGGAATTATCGGTATGGAATTACCGAAGATGCCTGGATATGCGCGGTGGAGGTCGCGGTCGAGGTTTACATCGATGATGGGTAGAACATACCGAAAATGCCTTCCTTTCAGTATTCTTTGCAGTTTCTGAGGTAACTGACGTGTGTTCCGGGAAAGTTATTGACGACAGTGAATGTATGTCTTTAAGTGAAAAGTGGTGGATCATTTGAGATTCTTTAAATCGCCAGTTTTCGGCTCATCCTATAACTAAAAAAAGGCAGTATCTAGGAGAATACCGTCACCTATATAAAGAGCTTAAGATACACCACTCAGACAGATTTTATGCGTATATGAGAATAAGTCTGGATACAGTATGTATCACGTGGTTTGAAAACCACCAATAAATTTGTAATTTACCACACGATTAACAGCTCGCTCGCGATGTAAAACTAAAAACTATTTTGTTCTGGCATCGCCATCGCTATAAACTGCGATGAACGGGTGAAACATCCTTGGTATGTGCGATCTCACAAGAAAATGAAGGTTTGTTTTGTCATCGATATATCGACCGCGACCTCCACCGCAGACATTCACGTATCTTCGTTATGTCCGTACCCACATCGAGGCTTCCATCTCTCTCGCGTCGTATGTATCTCATTCGCTTCTATTTTGGCCTGTGATAGTCCGAACCCCACCGGGGTACTACTCACTCGTTTCAAAATTATGTAGCGAGGTCCCTCTCCTCTCGTTCTATTCAATTTACGTTCTTTCTGGTCTTCTTTTTTCCCCTTTGGGAATAGTATCTAAGAAAAGATGAAGTTGGAGAAAATCAGAAAATCCAAGACAAAAATACATTAAAAAGATTTAGGATTGCTACGGTTCGATAAAAAGAAGTAGACTATAGCTAACAATGCTAGAAATGGGAATACCAAAAAATTAGTTGAGCTAACTGAAATGTTAGCTTAGAATATGCAATAAGAATATGCAATATCGTCTGAGCTGACAGGGGGATTTGCGAATCCAGGATCAAAACTATTGTTGGCCTTTTGACGATTTAGTTACAGTCGCTCATTCTACAAGAGACGTGAGAGAGGTGTTTTCCCAACTCGATGAGGAAACAGGTAATCTGAGTCTTGTCTTAAAAGAGTTAAACAGAACATAACTATTAATGACCACAACTTTAAAGTAGTAAAAGAGTTTAAATATCTCGGGATGGTAATCACAGAATACAAGTCATAGAAAAATAGGTATCAGCAAGGATAGCTGCGTGGAATAGAGCACTATACTCCATATCATCATTATTAAGATCCAAGCTGCTAAAAAGAAAACCTAAATTAAGACTGTACAAGTCAATTACTTGACCAGTTGGTACATATGGAAGTGAAACATGGACTCTCCATGAGCGGGAAATAAATAAGCTGCTGGTATTTGGTAATTGACAGGAAAGTGGATAAGGCACCTTAATGCAGAATTGGTGACTCTCTATGGTACTGAAAACATCGTAAAACATATAAAAGCTAACCGAATAATATGGGCAGGTCATGTGGTAAGATCAGATGAAGTCAAAGTTCTAAAAACAGTGTTTTTTGAGAGACTAGACGGTAGAAGATTAGTGGGCCGTCTCAGAAAAAGGATGGTGTTGAAGTTGATTTAGCTAGGATTAGGTACAACAATGGGAAATGGAAGCGCAAGATCGTAGAAGATGGAGGGCTATAGTGGATAAACGACGATGGGGGGTTTTGAATTCAGTTCACATAAACCTCTACTATAATATGTTTTATTATTATAGCTTAATTAGCAGACATTTGCACAAATGTGTTTGTTATACTTTCCGTTGATTCGTTGTAAATAAAGTGAAAACCTAATATATGTAAAAAGTGTTACAACACAATAAATATCTGCAACAAAGTACACAAACTTCAAGTACTTAAAACCACTTCACTTATCTTGAATACCTACAATTTTGAAATATAATGTCAACATTTTTAAAAATATTTATATATTACTAAAAAACAGACCAAAGCATTCAAAAAAAGATAATATATTCTAATGTATATAGAAATTTTTATAAATTATATTATATAGATTAGACAAAATGTCTTACAGCATCGTTTTTTGTCCCCGCGGGGGAACAAATAGCGGTCTGTCATCCTTCTATTGCCTCCGGGTGCTCTCTAGAGGGCTTCGGAGACGTCAACGAAGGCACCTCTAACCAAGTCTATTTTCTGGATATAGACTTGTTAAAAGTTTCAGCTGACGAGCTCGTCTTGAAAAACACGAGCTATTTCGTACATAACAAAAACTCTTACACGATGAAGTTGTCGAAATAATCCATCAGGTTCGTCGTCTTCGATGGCTTGCCTTGAATAAGGCAAGATATTTCTTACATGAATAATTATAGTCGAAATAAAACACCAAATACCGTTGAAATAATACTCAGCCACAGAGTATGAGAAAATCTAAAAGAGAAAGCAGAGCCCCGAGAGGACTAAGCTCTCGGAGCTTATCTCGGAACTCGGAACATCATCTCTTTTAAATTAAATTTTTCTTGGTCCATCTAACTAATATTCTGTCCAATAAACATTAAGCTGTATAAAGGTAGTTACACTAATAGTCACTGTGAAAACAACGCATGCATTTTAATGGTACTAATTATCAGAGCAATTTACGTAAATAAGCAAAGAAAACAACAAAATACCTTAAAATGCAGTAAAAATTATTAAAGTTTTAATCAAATACTAACATAACCTTAAAATATAAACATTCATAGTAAATACAAAGAATATAGACGCTTAGCGTCTATATTCTTTAGTAAATATCTTACTTTGACATTCTTACCTCACAAATTCACGAACAACAAATAATACCAATCGTACAGAATGAATGTTTATAACCAAAAGTCCTTATTTATTCTTTAAACAATAAAAAAAAACAATATTTCTAACTTGTTATGGGACAAATACACACAAATTAGAAATGTTTGGAAAGGTTTTTAAAATTGTCGCCATTGTGACGTCAGAGCTTAGGTAGTTCATACCGCACATCAAAACAAAATAAACACGACACTAGGCGTTTCTTAACACTTTCGCTGCTGACTTCTATCTTTGCTTCTATGATAGATGAGTTGCCGGGTGCGGCATTTTTTTTCTAAAAATTTTAATATTTTGGGCTTTATAATTGCTTTAGTACTAAATTGAAGCACATATATAGAGAATTTAGTTGTTTTTTGACATATATAGAAAGTTTATTGAAGACAATTTTAAGAAAACTAAGTAAAAACAATTAAAAACAAAAAGTAATAAAAACTTAAATAGTAGATGAACAATAAAAAAAACTTGCATAACTACGTAAATTGTTTATATGTATAACACAAAATGTTGCACTATTGATGGTAATCGTTAAAACATTCGACGCATAATCCGGGCTCTTCTGTACATTGTTGGCAGTGGTAGTGTGCTCTTGCCAGAGCACACTAATCGCTTTCTTACTGTTTTTCCTTGTTTGTCCTTGGCCAAAATTTTGATAATAATGTGGACTGTTTTAATTGTCGGCCTCAGCTTGTTATTCATCCCAAGGTTAAATATTTTTTCCAAAACTGACAGTCGGTAGTCGGCTCATCGGACGTAAAACAAATTGTTTATGTAGCAAGTGCGAATTCATTTGCATAAAGTGTATGTAATGTATGCCCAACTTCTTGTATCACCTTAATGATTTTCTTTCACAGGGGTAATAAGAGTTTAGTTGGTTGCCGATCGACACCCTCCATATGCTTATTATAATTAAAAATTGTAGTAGGTTTTTCTCCGGGTCTATTTCTTCTATCAACAAATTCCGTCATTTGATTTCCAAATTCATTAGTGATGTAAAGAACGTCACGTTTGTCCTTCCATTTACCAACTAAAATATTATCAGAAAAACAAGCAATTCGCTCACCTTTTTTTAGTTTTTTTTTTTCAATAACGTCTTTGGGATTATGTTTCCTTCTCACATTTAGTGTTCCAGTGCATAAGTACTTCGATTTGTTAATATTTTAGCTAGTTCATAGGAATTATAAAAATTGTTCATGTATACACTATGTCCTTGTTCCAAATATTCCTGAAGTAGCTGTAAAACTACTTTTGTTTTGTGACTTTTCCACCGGCATCATCCAGGGCTCCAGTGTAGACTAAAGATTTTAGAAATAAACCACTTGGCTCTGTAAGAATATAGAGTTTCATCCTGTATTTATGATGCTTGTTCTTGATATATTGTCGGAATACCAAGCGTCCACGCCATAGTACCATTAACTCATCAAGTGAAAGGTTTTTTCCAGGATAATAAACAGCAGACATTTTATTATTGAAGAACGTTATTATAGGTCGTACTTTATACAATCGATCTTGAACTTCTTCTCCACTGGCTGTGTTTCTAGAAAAATGTAAGCACCTCATTATGATAAGGAAACGATCCCTACTCATATGCTCCGAAAAACATTTGAAATTAAATAATGGATGAGATTTCCAGTAATCATTAAGTCTATTTAATTTGATGGTTCCAGTGTGAATCAATAGTGTAACAGATTTTAACATTTCTTCTCGTGAAACTGGCTTCCACTTTGTAATTCTTGATTTTTCTCGTATATGTTTGGAAAGGAATATCTCTTCTGCATACAAGTTGGTTTGGCTAACAATTAAATCCAAAATGTCGTTATCAAATATCATTTTAAAATAATCGATTCGGTCATTGCCACCTGGTTGAGCCAAAAGTTCATTTGTTTTCGAAAACATAAAATCTTTCATATTCATAGGAATATTTGTCCAGTCAGGAAATGAGTGTTCTAACACAGTTTCGTTTTCGTTGGGAACGTTATCTTGGATTTGAATCGGCATTTCATTTACTGTAACAATAAAAAAAATTAATAATATTGTTATCACATAAAATATAAAAACTTACTCTCTCTATCATCGTCTGAATACTCCTCGGATTCAGAAGAAACGCCCTCGAAATTAGAATCAGTATTACTGCCAATAAAATGATTACTGAATCATTCTCTCATCAGTAGATTCATATAACAAAGCTAACATCTCACTTTCACTTAGTTTATTAGGATTTTTCACCAGTACTTTACGTTTTTTAGTTTTTGAAGGTCCCGGTATAGAGTCCGCCATTTTAATAAGACAAACCGGTCTATACGCGAACGTACCATAATAAATAAGCCGACAACCAACCTTCCACTGCAACAATACAACCACACTGCTCGAATTCTTTGAACGCGTATCTGACTTGACCGCGTTAATTTGTATCCCCTGCTTATAGCATGTCCGAATGCCGCGAATGCCGTCTCATTGGGAAATTATGAAAACGGCAAACATATTTTAAATACTTTGTGCCTTAGTTACACACTAACAAGATGTGAACTATCTGCTGCATACGCTGTATTTAAAATGCTCTGTTAAATTTTTCTGGTGAGGTGTCACGCAGCTATGTCGTCAGCACCTGGCAAAATAACTTAAAGTCACGCATGCGTGACATCAGCAGTGAAAGTGTTAAGTGGTAAGCTTAATGTCAAGTCAATTAACATTTATTATGGTTCTTTAAAAATTCCTTATCAGCGCAACGCATTTATTTTTTCATCTCTCACGCCGAAAAATGTTATGAAATAATAAAATTTCTCCTGTCGATGACTCCTGTCATCGCTTACCTACTCATAACTTGGATGTGGGTGGTGTAATAATGTTAATATTAGTATTGTGTCGAGTTGTTCTGTTTAGTTGAGTGTGTACCACCAAACGATATAGACATAAAACTTTTTATGCCACTTGTGTATTTTTATCTGAAAGTAATTTTTATTTAATTGAAATGTATTTTCTATTATTTTCGAACCAAGGATATTTGCGGAAGGTATCTGTGAGACTTCTCAAAACGTAATACATACTTTGATTTTTACTAGGGTATTTACGTAAATGGGAATTTTTATTGTTAATGGTAATCTCGGTAAAGATTTCGTACACATTCATTTTTTTAGATCCCTGTTTCATCTACAACGCACAAATCGCCGCAGCTAAACTGAAACTGCCAAAATGGTCTGAACCTTTTTTGATAGGCCTTCTAGTAGTCTTAATCGATTTACCATATGACATCGTTTCCGTAAAATACGTTCACTGGACCTGGCATGATACTGATCCGAATCTATTTGATAGGCACTACTGGGTACCTTGGAATTCCTACTTTTTCCACACAACATTCGCAGCCGGATTTACCTTCTGGTTCCATTTCCTTAGAGAAAAAATTTGCGACAGTGGAGATCGATGGGCAGCAGACAAAAGGTAAGAGAGCTTAGTTATATGCATAAAAAAATTTTAGTACAGTTGCGACACGCTTAGTGTAGCAGTAAGGTTTTGGAATATGCAGCCAGATGAATAACAGACAACAAATGTAAAGAGGCAGAGGCTCAAAAATAAGACGAAGAATGAAGACACTTTACTACTAGTAAAGATTTGAAGTTGAAAAAGAAATATGGGTGCTAATAACAATAACATATGTACCGGGTGGTCCAATAAGCCGATCTCTCGGCTATATATCAGAAACTATTCATGTTATAACTTTAGGAGAAAAAATTCCTTAGTACAAGTGGCCAAGAGAAATCGCTGGAAATAACTTTCAAGGTTCTGGGTTAACCGCTAGGGGGCGTAACCTGTGAAGAAAACTTTGAAAACCAGTTTTTTGGGAAATATGTCCAATTATACCAAGTGTTAAATAAGTAAACTAGAAAGAGCCATGAATTATGCACAAGGTTGTTCAAGTACTTTTTTTTTATTTTTTCAAATAAAGTTTGGTTGAAAAATGGTTTTTTCGAAACTAAGTAGGCTACGACAATGAATTTGACAGAGAGTTCATATTGTTTATTTATTGACAGCAGTCAAAACATTGTTAAGAAGTTTTGTATGTATTATAATTCGAATTGAAAATTGCATTGTTTTCAATAGATATTAATATTGGTAATATTAGTAATTAATTATCAGTACTAATAATTCGTGATGAGTATATCAAATTGTATGATATGACTGGGGTTTATTTCGAATATCACCAAATTGGCGCTATTACCTCACGTATATATTCTATAAGATATCCTGGCAAGAGACATTATGGCAAAGATGTAGAGATTTCCGACTATGTAGAGATTATATGTGGATTCTGTTGAATTAAAGCAAGAACATTGATTGAATTATCTTCGGTCATAACTCTACTACGTCGTTTAAAACAAGGACGAGAAAAACTACCAGTTTCTCTTAATCTTTTTGCCTTTCTTTCAAATACTTCTTTGCCATAATGTCTCCTGTCAGGATATCTTACAAAATATATACGTGAGGCAATAGCGGCATTTTGGTGACATTCGAAATAAACTCCAATCATATCATACAATTTGATATACTCATCACGAATTATTCGTACTGATAATTAATTACTAATATTAAAAATATTAATATCTGTTAAAAAAAGTGCAATCTTTAATTGGAATTATAATATAGCACTTCTTAGCAATTTCTTTTGTCTGCTGTTAATAAATAAACAATATGACCTCTTCGTCAAATTCATTGTCGTAGCCTACTTAGTTTCGAAAAAACTATTTTTAATCATATGAAATAACAATGGTCAAAATAGGTATCAAAATTAAGATTCTTCTGCTATAAAAAATTTTGAAAGTACCTACTGACTTATTTTTTAATTTAATTTATAATACAGGGTGTGTCAATACTATACTTACTTATGTTTATGCGTTTTTATTCATATCTCGAGTTCAACAAAAGCTATTAACATGCGGTTTGCTCCATTTTGTTACGAATTTAATCCAGTTCCATTATAATTTACAATAAATAGGTGTTTCCATTAAAAATTTTGAAGAAAAACAAATTTTAATTTTTTCTATTTGAAAGTCCCCTCCACCTACGCCAATTAAAACTAAATGCAAGTATTTTATAGTCGATGTGAATTAATTCATCCACACTCGTTCTAATGACACTAATTTTATTAAAATCGGTTGATCCAAATCAAAATTATAGGTTTTTATCCACAAATACTTTCCCACTCTCCCCCACCCTTTATTTGAAAAAATAAAAAATAAATACTTGAACAAATTTATGCAGAATTCATGCCTCTTTCTAGTTTACCTACTTATTTAACACTTGGTATAATTGGACATATTTCCCAAAAAACTGGTTTTCAAAGTTTTCTTCGCAGGTTACGCCCCCTAGCGGTTAATCCAGAATCTTGAAAGTTATTTCCAGCGATTTCTCTTGGCCACTTTTACTAAGGAATTTTTTTCTCCTAAAGTTGTAACATGAATAGTTTCTGATATATAGCCGAGAGATCGGCTTATTGGACCACCCGGTACAACTCCATCTTTCCAAATGCAGCATTTGGAAAGATGAAGGATATTTTTAGGTCTAAGATTCCAATGTGCCTGAAAAGAAAAGTATTTAATCAGTGTATTTTGCTAGTGATGACCTACGGCGTAGAAGCCCTAACACTCACAAGAACAACAGTGAGTAAACTACAAGTTGCGGAAAGAGCAATGGAGAGAATAATGTTAGGGATTTCTTTACGTGATAGAATACCCAATGCTACTATACGCAAAATATCAGGAGTATCAGACGTTATTGAAAGGATAACAACACTAAAGTGGAACTGGGCAGGTTATGTAGCAAGATCAGTTGATGACCGGTGGACAAAAATTATTTTGGAATGGAGACCCCGAATACAAGCTTACAGAAATAGAGGTCGACCCCCAACGAGATGGACAGATGACATAAAAAGAGTGACTACAAATTGGATTCAAATGGCGCAAAATCGGTCCAAGTGGAAAAGTATGCGAGAGGCCTATGTTCAAAGTTATGTACAATTTATGTCCACTCTCATGTGTAGTACATTCTACGCTTGCTGGATAGCCCAAATTTGACGAAGTAAGTCTAAAACGTTAATCACAAAAAACTTTTATCATCCATTAACTTCGAGTTTTTATCGAAGTTAATTAACTTTCTTCATTAAAAAAAAACGTTTCTTGGCTTATTTCAGATGCCCCTGATGATGCTGTAGGTAGCAAAAGTACTTTTTGATTTTGAGTTGGCAAGATTTGATTAAACTTGTGCTCGATATTTGCCTTAATTTTTCAAAGTTAATAAAAAATGTATAGTTTAAATTTTAAATAAAAAAAAAAATTAACAGGAATCGATTATTGTTCAAATTATCGTTATATTTGTTTCAGACTAGCCTGTCCTAAAATATTGAATGTTTTATATATACGAAAAAAATTAAGTGATTTGACACGATAGACGTTAGTTGATGCGATGTTGCCTTCTTCTTCTTCAAGTGCCGTCTCCATCAATGGAGGTTAGCGGTTATGGTGGCAAACGTTTGTCTATCTTCAGCTGTTCTTAAGAGTTCCTCAAATCCAAGTCCTGTCCAGTTTCTGATATTACGTAACCAGGACAATTTTTTTCTTCCAATTCCTCGCTTTCCTTCTATTTTGCCTTTTATTATCAACTGAGGGATGTAGTATTTCTCGTTGCGCAACAAATGCCCTAAATAACTGGTTTTTCTTCTTTTGACTGTTCTCAATAGTTCTTTTTCTAAATTGAGTCTAGCTAGTACTTCTTCATTTGTTTTTCGTGCTGTCCAAGGAATTTTTAAAATTCTACGGTACACCCACATTTCAAATGCCTCGATTCTATTCAGGCTCTTTATTTTTAAAGTCCATGTTTCGACTCCGTAGAGAAGAACAGACCAGATAAAACATTTTACAAGTTTTAATCTCAATTTAATATTTATATGTGTATCGCAGAATAGAACGCGCATCTTAAAGAAACTATCCCTAGCTTGAGCAATTCTCGCTTTAATTTCTTGTTCTGGGTCCAGCTTGCAATTAATCCAACAGTCAAGGTATTTGTATTGGTTTGCCTGTTCTAAAATATTCCCATTTATTTTTATAGGTAAGGGGATATTCTGTTTTCTTTAGATCACCATTACTTTTGTTTTTTTTTCGTTGATCTTCATTCCAAACTCTCGACAAGCATCCTTAAGGTGGTCTATAACCCTCTGTAAGTTTGTGTCTGTATCAGCCAGTAGGACAGTGTCATCTGCATATCTTATGCTAGATATTGGTTCTCCATTAATTTTTATTCCTGTGGAAAGGTTTTCCAAGGCTTGCTTGAATAGTAGTTCCGAGTAAAGATTGAACAGCATAGGGGATAGTATGCATCCTTGCCTTACTCCCTTATTTATACTAATATTTCTAGATGTATGATCGTCGATCCTAATCTTGGCACTCTGCCTCCAATATAAGTACTTAATTAATCGGAGATCTTTGCTATCCAATTTGATGCTCTGCAAGAAATTTAACATTTTATTATGGTTTACGCGATCAAATGCCTTTTCAAAGTCTACAAAACATAGAAAGACATCCTTTTGTTGGTCGTAACACTTCTGCAGCAGTACTTGTAATGAAAACAAGGCCTCTCTGGTCCCCATTCCGGCTCTGAATCCAAATTGATCGTATCCAACTTCTTTTTCACACCTTTTGTATACCCTATTGTGAAGTATTTTTAATAGAATTTTAAGCATTTGGCTCATAAGACTTATTAATCTAAAATCTGCGCATCGCCTGGAGTTAGCTTGTTTTGGAATGGGAATAAAAATAGATTCTAACCATTCCTCTGGTATTTCCCCAGTATCGTAGATTGTATTAAACAAAATTACTAACAAATCAATGTTATTACTTTCGATCAATTTAAGTATTTCAGGATAAACTTCATCAGGTCCAGGGCTTTTATTGGTCTTTAATTGTTTAATGGCATATTCCACTTCGACTTTTAGAATTGGTGGGCTTTCAGTAACATTATTTATTGTAATGTCTATTCTTTCATCTCGGAACAGCTGTTGTATAAATTTTTCCCATTCTTCTATTTTATCTTTGGTGTTATGAATTAACTCTCCGTTGTTATTTACCTATGTTGCCTAATCGAATATTATTTTAGAGGTATTAAATTGTAATATTGTAAGTTACAATGTTTGAGGTAATTGATAAAATATGATATTTAATGAAGTTTTTAGCCATAATCATTCAAATGAACTGAATGAACGGAAGTCTAATTAATTGGAAAGCTAAATTTGTTTCATACTGAGAATTACGATATTTAGTTAAAATAAATTGTGACCAACGGTTTTGGAAATAAGTTTTGATATCAATTCACGTTCAGTTGCGATAACTTTGTCTATTTTTTTTTTCATTTTAAAAAAAATTAAAAATTAAATATAAATAATTAAAAAATTATTTCACCTCTTAGTTTTTAATAAGAAAATTCAACAAACAATAACTATTTCACGAATTACGAAGTTATCTGACAACGTAGTAACCGCACTAAAACTGATATTCAATGCTTATTATGGTTAATAAAATAATGAAACGGTTTTACTTATGTACGAAATTACCCGATTATATTTTTTAATTAATACCTATGCAATAAAAACCTTTTAAAAGTTATGTTTACGGCAGTACCCTCTGTTCCTCTACACATGTATAGATGTGCTGTGAATTGTCTGACAAACATTCAATTAGTATAATTTTTAAATTTAAAGAAGCAAATTATTGAAATACCGTTATTATCGTAGAAGTAACTTGTACCGTTACAAGTTTTCTGTACTAATCTACTAAAAATATATTTTCAATCTCTTATTAAGCAATTTCTTTTTCAGCATATTCAAAGAAATAATATGCACCATTGTTCCTGCAGTCTTAGGATTTCCAACAGGAGTCATAGGTTTTATTCTGATCTACCATCCACTTCATGATCTGTACAATATTCATAGCGAAGTAACATACATAATCCTATTCGTTATTTGCCTGCTAATCTCTTGGACAGGTGAACGCCTAACGGCGCATAGAGAAGGCGCTAAGAACGTGGTTGGCAAACTCCATTGGAGTTCGTATTTAACTCTGTTTCATTTAATTGTTCACTACGCTACGTTTATGCTAGTCCTAATATTTTTCAATCCAGAGGATGAAGTATCAATAGGTCTGAAAGAGCCAATTGGACCCTGTGATGAGTACGTTCCGTTACAGACAGTATTTGGACTAGTAAGTATTGATATTGTATTGTATTTATAATTAAAAATATAATGTTACGTTGTTCTATGGGTTCACAAATCACAGATTAAGTGAAGCGCGATGTTGTTGAACTAACTTTATTTATCGATTTGAGAACAATTCGCACTAATACAATAATAACAATAATAATTTTAGAGCTCGCCTCTGCTGGCTTATATAATAAGAACGAACTCTCGAAAATCTCGAAACTGCTTGCTGAGCGACGCCCGAATCATTGGGAGGTCTGAAAATTCGTAAATCTCTACGTTTGTGAAATATTTCGGCAAAAGACAGTTTTCGATTTCGCGAACGTATCAGGAGTATCTGACTTACAGCAGTATCATGACATGATCTAGACATTACAGAAGGTTTTAACATTCTCTTTAAGTAAAATATTTCCTTTAAGTCGGAACAAGTGATTAATGACATTTCTATACCACTACTATATGCTCCGAATGTGTAGTTAGCCTTACAGCGACCATCTCACTCTCGGAGTACGGTACGTGCAACAGTCAGCTGCGCACAAGTAGGAGAGGTTAGTTTTAGTTGTAGGCAGGATAACAGGCGAGAAGAACCGACTTAGAGAAAGTTATAGAGAAGCGAATAAAGCTGTCAAGAAGGCAGCAAAGAAAGACAAAAGAAAGTGGGCCGAAAATCTTGCCGAAGAAGCGCGAGTCGCCGATGAACATCAAAACATGAGACAATTATATAATATCACTAAACAACTAGCCAATAAAAGATATACTACCCACCAACCAATTGTAAAAAGTGCTACAGGTGAAGATATTACAGCGCCACAGGAACAAGTCAAAAGATAGCATGAATATTTTAGCGAATCTCTAAGTGCAGTCCCAACACCACCAGAAGAAGCAGAAAACCTAATACCCAATATCCAACTGAGAATTAACACCAACGAACCAACAACGCAAGAAATAGAAATGGCCATAGAAAAACTGAAAGCACACAAAGCAGCCGGCCTGACAATATTCCACCAGAGTTTTTAAAAGCTTGCCCAGGTACAGTGGCAGAGCTAATCCAACCACTCTTGAAAAGGGCTAGGAGAGAGGAAAAGTTCCCCAAAGAATGGAAAACGGGATTAATAATAAAGATACCAAAAAAGGGTGACAGAAGATATTGCGAAAACTGGAGAGGAATCACACTTCTGAATACTATAAATAAATTAACAGCAATATTTATAAACAACCGACTAACAAACAGTGTAGAACCAATGTTGAGGAAGGAACAAGCCGGTTTCAGACCAAACAGATCATGCGTGGACCAAATTAACACACTAAGAATAATTGTAGAACAGTCACAGGAATTCAATTCTCCTCTCTTTGTGTGCTTTGTGGACTTCAAGAGAGCTTTTGACACGCTCACACATACGGCCATATGGAAAGCACTGCAGGAAATAGGAATACCAGAAAAAATAGTAAATCTCATCAAAGAACTCTACAGTGACACAGAAATCAAAATCCTACACAACGGCATAACATCTGACCAAATAGCTATGCTAAATGGAGTAAAGCAGGGCTGTGTTTTATCCCCCATACTATTTAACACTGTACACTGGTAACACTGTACTGGACTCCGTACTAACAAAGGTAAACTCTAATAGAGGAATTTACTGGGGATTAACAAACAGACTGGAAGACCTAGATTACGCTGATGATATATGCCTCCTAGCACATACAAAACAGGACATGCAACTCCAAGTAAATAAAGTACAAGAAGAATTAAAGAAGGTTGGTCTAGAAATAAACATCAACAAAACCAAAGAAATGCGATTTGGTACCAGAAACAACCAACCTATTATGATCAACGACCAGAAAATTGAGAGAGTAGCGGAATTTGTATATCTGGGCAGCATAATTGACTGTAATGGGGGTACAGAGCGTGATGTACATGAAAGAATAAATAAGGCTCGCAACGCCTACAACATGCTTAACAACATATGGAAATCCAGGATTTACCCAACTAAAACGAAATTAAAAATCTTCAACACAAATGTAAAAGCTCTATTACTGTATGACTGCGAAACGTGGAAGATATCAGCACCCATAGTACACCAATTACAAGTTTTCATCAATAGAGCGTTACGAAAAATCCTTCGTATATTTTGGCCTAACCGAATCTCCAATGAAAATTTATGGAATCAAAGCAACCAAGAAAATGTCATAAAGCAAATAAGGCGAATAAAATGGAGATGGCTGGGCCACACACTCCGTAGACCGCCAAATGACATTGCCAGGACAGCGCTGGATTGGAATCCCCAAGGCCGACGGAAAGTAGGCAGACCTAAGGGAACTTGGAGAAGGACAGTACTGGACGAAGGAAGAAAAATGGGAAAATCCTGGCTTGAAATCAAAGCACTAGCCAGAAATAGAGTTCGCTGGAGACACTTTGTGGAAGCCCTATTTCCTCTTAGGAATCTTGGGACTATATATATATATATATATATATATATATATATATATATATATATATATATATATATATATATAGGATAACAGGAAGGCATCTGTTGGCAGGACCTCTTTCTTCTAAGGGGAAATGGGCTCAGATGTACTCCTCTACCTTGAATCCAACACACGCCAGCCATCCCTAGGGATGGGTTAACGTGGTACTGTTAAATCTTATAATGTCTAAATGCTTATTATGTAGCACACTGAACTATAGTCGACTTTTTCTCTCTGTTGGGTCTAAACTTTCAGTCACTAATAATACTTTCTTTTCATTTAATGAGGTCTTAATTCGAAATTTCCAACTGTGGAAATTCTCCCCTGTGAGAACGAGAAATTAATTATTGACCTGCAAATATCCTTGAATGTAATCATTTTTCATAGGAAAGGAAGAAAGGAAGACTTGAAGAGGCTTATGTTCAGATGTGGACGTGAATGGCTAGACCAAGAAGAAGAAGAATCATTTTTACTTGAATTTTACTCTAGCTAATTATCAAATAATCTCCTGGGCCCATAACCTATTGAATATTTAGTTTAAATTAAGTCATTATTGATGGATAACTTTATTTAATAGAATGCTACATTTTTATCTGCAGTATCATTATCTCACTTAAACATGACGTTCGTTACTCATAATTACACAATAGCCAACCTTTACTAAGTAGCCCGATATTATGACACTCGCAGGGCAAAAAACTATTACAATTATTTAAAACCAACTCTCTGTCTGATTAATTTGATTTTTGTTTTTGAATTGAGTATGCAACCTAACAAACATTATTTTTTAGACTTTAAAGAAACGTAAATGGTTATGTCCGACCGACTACAATGAAGACTATTTCGATTTCCACTGCTTACCGAACAAGAAAATCCCGTCTAACGGTTCGATGTGGTACACAATTTGCGGCACACCGTTTGAGAACAGGGCCGAGTATATCGCAATCATAGGTCTAATTTGCTTGATGGCAGTTGGAGTTTTTGGAAATTTATATTTCAGATCCTATGGTGACGCAGTATTCGTGAAAAAAGTTGTTAAAGATAAAAATGAACTGAAAAAGAAACGCAAATAAAATGTTTTTTACCTTTTTTACTGTTTTTTTTATTTGACATGTTTTCATATTTATATAATAATCTCATACTTCCCATAGGTACTTCGTTTGAAAATAATTGATAGCAAAGTTTTTATGACATCACTGAAAATCCTCAATATCATGCCATTAACCAGTAACGATAAATTTATAAATTATTTTACAATTTTATTTACTCAAATGTTGCAGTAATTTTAATTAATCAATAATATAGATATGTCGTCATCATCATTAACCTGTTTGCGTCGTTATTGCTAACACGCTTCAAGTCATCACTCTGCTCCCTATTGCTCATCGCCTTGGTCTCCACTCGACAATACGTTTTATCCATCGGTTATCTGATAATCTGGCGATGTGTCCTGCCCAATTCCATTTTAGCGACCGATTTTTTCGATGACTTCTGTTGTTTTTATTCTACGACGTATTTATTCGTTTGGAATTCAGTCTCTCAGAGTGACATCCAACATCTGGTACTCCATAGCCCTCTGAGTCTCGCGAATCTTGGTCAATACCTTTTTTGTGAGTGTTAATGTTTCCGCTGTGAGTCTAGGTAACACACATTGGTCACAGATTTTCCTTTTGAGGCACATAAGTAGATCTGATTTAAATACATAATGTAATTTACCAAACGCTGCCCAGGCTAATCCTATGCGACATGGGAGCTCACATGTCTGGTTATCTCTGCCCAACCGAATTTCATGTCCTAAGTACTTATACGATGTAGTCTGTATTATCCCTTATTTTTACAACCGACCGGATGCTGTTTCAGTAAGATAAGCGATTTAGCTGGTAAGCAGTTCATTAGTAGAGTGTAAAGTGTTGTTTGCTGTAATTTAATTATTTTGAATAGTGATGTAGCAGTTCATTAAGAGTGTAGTCAAAGGCGGCGTAGGCCGTGAGCCACAGCCCACGGCCTCTCACAGAAGGTTCTCCAAGCAACTCTTTGTCTGCAGACTTTCTTAAACTCTCTGAGATTTGATTAATAAGAATCCCAATCCTCTTTGAGTTTGGTGCGTTTTGCTCCATTAAAATCTGTTCTTGTTATCGTCTTAAGGTGTTCCAGTTCAATGCACCACCAAGGGTTGCTTTTGCGACTTTCCTGGATCATCCTTATTGGACAGGATTTTTTATAAACATAGATTATTTTGTTTTGGATAGATACCGTATACCTCTCCACTTCTGAATTAGTTCCTGGAGTTGAAGGCTTTTCATTCCGCACAGCATCTTCTAAGAGTCGGATGTAGAGTTCTATATCCGTTAAGATATATACAAATCTTTTCTAATAATATAGTCATAAAGAGACTTACCCCGAGCGTTGTTATCTCTGCTGCCCCAGCCTAAATGGTGAGAGTTCGAATCGCAGCCGATAATAAGTTCTACCTTCTGACTGAGACACTGGTCTACCAGATCTTTCATTTCGTTTGTGGGTAGTAGGGTGGCTGCGTCTGAGGGTAGGTAGACCTATCAACTCTCTATTTTTGCCCCTTTCCCATGGGTATTTCACTTTAACCGCAGTTACGTCCGAGATGCAAAACTGCGCCATGGGGAGGCTTTGATTTTCCTGGGAAAATATATTGCTGTTCTCGGTTGTTGGTTGCTAGGTAAGCTGAAAATTTGACCGTTTAGACTGCTAAAACCAGTTATTTCGGTCTAAGTTCTTGGATTAGCTTAGATTAGTGCTATTGCATTATTCGTTACATCCAGGCGGCGGCCGTTGCCACCTTTTTGTGTTAAAGGTTGTATTGAATTATAGTAACCTTATTTTTTCTGACGTCCTTGCCCATGGCTTAGGTATCATTCCGGTTCTTTTAGGTTTCCATTTCCTCCTCGGTTGAGCAGGGGGCAACCTAAAGCTACGGTTGGTTAGAACAGTGCGCAGCACACAGCAGAATCTGTTGTACTCGACTCACGGTAGTTTTTTGTGTTAGATTATTTCGCAGAAATATTCTGTCACTTTGAAAACAAGTTTAGAAATTTGTTTCACGTTTATTCTCTCAAAGATTGTACGTTTAAAAAATGAATTCTCTCAAACTTAATGCAACAATTTTATTACTCCAAGAAGAGCAGGAAGAAGAAGAGTTGATAACATTAAATTTAAATCAAAGAAATGAAAATGTAAACAAATTTTGTCATGTCTTAATACAGAAGGTGGTTTTAAATTAACATTCGAAGAAAGATTGTTTCAAAACGAGGAAAAATTTCGAAAATATTTTAGACTTTCCAGGGATTTATTTGGAACTGCCTTACAATTTGTACTAGATCCACTAATCTTTCATATTTCTCGGGAGAAAACTTAATAGACATCACTTAAGTATTACAATATTAATAACTATATAAAAATACAATTATAATTTCGGTGTAGATGTGTACGCTGTCAGCTCAGCTGAACGTTCGAGTCCAAATCAAATCACAGTTGATTCCAGCGCACACTGTCGACGTACGCGGCTATCGGTCTGCAGTGCAAGGAGCTCAGCAGAACCTAACAAATCGTTATCAGAGAGAACCATTTCTTTGATTTTGACGAACTTGCGCGGCGTTCGACTGACTGTGAGTTATGCGGCGTTCGACTGACTGTGAGTTATGCGTCGCTCAGTGTTCTAACAAACCATAGCTTCAGTCGTTTCGGAGCCTCCTCTTCTGAGTTCGTCGACCATCATCTGATGGTCTTCTCCCTGCTGTGGGACTAGGGGTGTCTCAGTCGCAGCAACCGTCGTCGGCTGCCGAGTGTCTGAGTTTCCTGGTTTCAAGGAGGTATCCTTCACTTTGTTGGTGCTTGCTTTTAGAGTCGATGAGATGAACGGGTAGTTCAGCCTCATTGCCCTTTTCCCAAGGGCAGCCATGTCATCTTCTACGATTCAGAAAACGAGCAGAAAAGATCCTTTAGGATCTTTTTTTACCTCATGGTGGAGGGTGCACCATCTCGGAACTACCATATCTAGATTTTGCGCCATTAACTTTCGCAGCACTCTTTATGGGTCATCAGAGGTGCTAGTAGCATCCTCCGGGATCCATAGAGAAACTTTGGTAAGCTTTGGGAGCTTATCCTGACTAACAACAGCCAGTGATGCCTCCTCCCACGGTTTGAGATCAGCTGTAACCTTTTACAGCCATGCAAGCGCCTCATCGTCATCACAGACTTCTCTGATGATCTCACTCGAGTAAGTCCACGATTTGAACAAGGGTGCTTTTACCTGGCTGCTGGAGGTGAACAAGATAAAACGCTTTATACAATGAGGTTTGCCTGGTTCCCCAGGGGGATCGTTCACGACCATATAAAACCCTGTGGCTATACAGTAATCGGCACGATTACCTCACACATTAGCTTGGGTAGGCTGCTTCTATTGCTGAAGCAGTTCATCCATTCCTAGTCTCTCGAATAACTGGGAGAGATTTCTAAATACCCCAGAGAGCTATGGTGACAGAAACTGTTCTAGCGTGGTCGTTTCACATCTTTTTATACTTCCCATTCACCAGGCCTAGCCCGTTTATAGGGGGTACCTTCATTCAACGGAGAGCTCCTTATTAGGGAGATTCTATTCATTCACACACATACTTGTCCCACTTCCTACGCCAGACTACAGCCTCATGGTACAATGAACACAATGTGTTCATTGTATCATGGGTTATAATAAAACAAATGGCGCTAACTTCACCTACATCGAAAGATGTCCATTCCAAAGATGGCTATGTGTTACTAGCTACATATGGAATTGCGAAATACGTTCATTGTGTACATAGATACTAATGATTCTATATATTCTGGCGCCAATTTTTAGATTAATGTAATTCGCCACATTTGGAACAAAACTTAAAATAATTATGCGGTTTACCTACTGTGTAAATAGCTCAAAAATGGAAAAATTGTAGTTAGCCACACTTATAATCAAACCATTAACAAAGATTTGAACTTTTGGAATTCAGTAATATTTGCTGATGAAACCAATAAACTTGTTGGGGTTCGATAGAAAAATATCGGTATAAAGAAAGCCGAATGAAGAACTAAAATTAAAAAGTATGAAAGCTACGGTAAAGCACGGTCGAGGTGGAGTGATGATGTGGGGGTGTATGTCATCTGCAGGAGTAGGTAACATCCATTTTATTGAAGGGAATATAAACTAATACATGTACCTGGACATACTAAAGCACCATTTCACCGTTAGTACTCAAAAATTAGGTATTAATTACAATTACCGGTTTTATGAGGTTAACGACCCAAAACACACGTCATATCGGGTTCGTACTTGGTTGCTTTATAATTGTCGAAATGTCATTTAAACACCAGCCCAGTCACCAGAAGGTTATCGAAAATTTGTGGTTGACATTAAAAAATAAAGTAAATAGTGCTCCAATATCAAATAGAAATGAGTTGAAAGTAAAATTTACCAAAGCTTGGGACACAATTTCACCAGAGTACACTAGAAAGTTGGTCAAATCAATGTCTAGACGACTGCAGGCTGTAATTGATAATGAAGGAGGACCTACAAAATATTAACAATCATTTTTCAATGCGTAGAGTTTGTTTTCATTATTAATGTTTTGTTTTAAAGTTTTTTCAGCTTATACTTATTTAAAAGACTTGTAGTAATTTAATTTATGTAGGGGAGATCCTTGTACTTTGGAACGGTTTTTAAATAAAAGCCGGTTTCAGTAGTTTTTAGAACTGAGATTTTTTTTTAAGTAGAGGATCTTTAAGTAAACAAATAAAAAAATAAAATATTAATTCCAATGGCAAATATACTTATGAATACAGAAAAATTCACCATATCCTAAAGGTCTCAAAGTACACACCGAGGTTGGTACTTTGGAACATAAGTATGTGTACTTTGAAACGCTTATTTATTGACGTTAAATGCAGATAAATCGATAGAAAATGTCATCTCAGCATTTCTTCTGGCAGTGCCCCCCACTACTGAAGGGGCTCCTAGTTTCATCACCATATCTTCGTCAGGCAAGTCATAGACAGTGTCATTTTCGAAAAGAAATTTGGCGGCAAAGTTACT